TAGCGAAGTCTGTAATTGCATTAGCGTTCGGAATTATTAAAATAATAAATTTTTTAAATCTAGTTATTTCTGTTGAGATTTATGCTGTATTTTAACAAGCATTACAATGTAAATACTGAGCTACAAGCTGCTGCTTTTAAAGCAACCAAATACAGTAATAATTAATAATTATTTAATTTTAACCACGGACCTCTGGAATACCGGCCCAGCGTGCTACCGTTACACCACGAAGGCACGCTAAGGAAGTGGGAGAAATACTTTATATACTCCTCTTTTTAAAGGGCGACTAGGGTTTTAGGGGACCTAGTCGCCAAATCCTGGGTGCGGAGAATCATCATCCACAACTCTTTTAGTTCGGTTCGGGCGCCACTTGTAGAGACATTAGGTTAATTGGAAGCCAGAGAAGATGAAAAATATGCAACCGCCTTCGCCGGGAATCGAACGACGGAACTCTGGAATACCGGCTCAGCGTGCTACCGTTACACCACGGAGGCACGCTAGGGAAGTGGGAGAAATACCTTATAAACATATGTTAAGAAATGAATTATTCTCTTAATAAAGTCAATTTTGCGATTTTCATGTTAGAAGTATTCATTATTTCAGAAATTCACCATCCCAAATAAATACTAAGCGATATGCTTCTGCTAAAAGAACAGTTATTATGGTGTCTCGGGTACGTGAGCTTAAAATGAGCTTGCTATATGGGTGTTCTTATGTATAATGCGAAACTTCCTGGAGTTTTCATCATAAAGTTCTTCCCGAATGCATTCATTCTCTCCTTTGCTTTGTTATAATCTATTAAGCAATCCCTTGTGTTACCTTTCATCATTTTAAAGAACTTTTCGTTCTCCTTTCATAGTTTCAAAGGTTTTTCCCTATCAGTTTTTGGATTTCTGTAAAGCCTCGAGCTCAAGCAAACTCTGAATGCGAATCAACAAGTCGATTCCAAAGAAACTCTTGCTATTAGCTAAGAGATCATTAAACTATGTTTTGAAAGCACACTTAATATGAGTTTAGCCTTTCATTCTTTATCTGTACTCCTAGCCATCAGTTTAAACTGGGGGTTAAACATTATTTAAACTGGGGGTTAAACTGTATGAAATTTGCTAATTTGATAGGCAGCTAACGACTAAGTTTAGAGCTGGAAAGCCTATCGCAACAACAAAAACAAAATTGGGACATATTTTCTTTCATTTCATTTATTATTTGTCATTCCATGTTTAAAAATTTTTTAAATAAAGCCGTTTGAAATCGGTTAGTCATTTTGAATACATGTATAGGGAATCGAAAATTTCAGGGATATACTAAAACAGCAAATTCGATCTACCACGGCTCAGTTACATAGTTTAAAGAATCATCCATTAACGCTTTATTACCAGATACTACAAACCGCTTTTCAGTTTTTATAAGTCGTTTGCTGGATTAGGAAAAATTTTGGAGGCCTGTGGGCATAGCATCATATAAAGCAAGTAATCATAACATTTTCCCTGCTTTGTATATGACTTTTATGCTTCAGGAAAGTCATACTTTTACATAAGAATTAATGGGTTATATTTGAACTAATAAACGAAACAAACTCATTCTGTAGAGACATTCGGTTAGTTGGAAAAGCCGGAGAGATGAAAAATGAGCAATCATCTTCGCTGGGAATCGAACCACGGACCTCTGGAATACCGGCCCAGCGTGCAGAACCACTACTCCACGAAGGCACGCTAGGAAGGCGGGAGAAATACCTTACATACTCCCCTTTTAAACGGCGACTGGGGTTTTTAGGGGACTCAATCGCCAAATCCTGGATGTGGAGAGTCATCATCCACAACCCCTTTAGTTCGGGCGCCACTGTAGAGACATTAGAATTTTTTGGAAGCAAGAGAGATGAAAAATTAGCAACCGCCTTCGCCGGGAATCGAACCACGCACCTCTGAAATACCGGTCCAGCGTGCAGAACCACTACAGCACGAAGGCAGGCTAGGAAAGCGGGAGACCTTACAATTCACTAAAAGGGAAAATTAGCATTTTGGAAAACAAAAATATTAAAATCAGTTTGTCTAAAATCAAACGCAGTGTAATAATATCAAGTTATTCTCAATGCTAACAGCTAACATAAAAATAATGAAATTAATTCGCTTTTATTTAAAAGTACGGTATTCATTTTTTTAATTTAATTTTTCTTTTTTTTTCTACGCATTGAAAAGAAATCAGATTTTCTTCATATTATCAGAAACTTGACTTGAATTAAGTGTAAAATTGTTGTACTCAGAGCTCAGTTTTATAAATTCTGTTTGAGGAAAGCATACTCGTAATAATGTTTTGCAAAATATAAATATTAGATAACGAGAGATAAAATCTTATCAATAATAATATATTTAGCGAATAATAAAAAAAACTGTCATAAAGTTTAAATTATAATACGGAATAAATTCAGCATAATTTTACACTAAAGTTTCAATAAATAAAAAGCGAAGAAAAAGATAGAGAGGGGGAGACAGAAACATTTTATTTCAATATTGTTAGACATACTTTTCCCAGTTATCATTTTCGGAATTATAAATTTTTATTTAGAAACGAAGTAAAGTTTTGTTATTTAGAAACTTCTGCAATTCTTTTAAGCCTAATTGGTGATTTTTCTTTCGTTGTTGATTATGCATGCAGTGTAATGCAAATGAAATAGGATTCGCAAATATTGTAAAGTTTATTTAATAAACCAGTTACTTTTTTGTCGACCTTCATTAGATCGCAAATTATATTAGGTTTAAATCACGGGAGCTGTTATTTAGGGAACCAGTACTATAACGGCAGCCTGAAGGGATTTTGAGACTTAGCGATTCAGCAACCCATAAGCCACTCATTTGTTAGCTGCTGTACAAGTGGTAATTGGTGAGAGATTATTACCGTATTTGGCGGCATATAAGACGCACTGGCATATAAGACGCACTCTTATTTAGAAGGCCACACACATATAGATGTAGAAAAAGTTATGTGTGTCTAGATCTTTATCCGGGCTGAAAATAGCATTCAGTATTGAAAGTTAACCTGTGTCCTTCACATATAAGACGCAGGTAACTTTTTTGAGACCAAATTTAGAAAAAAAAGTGCGTCTTATATGCCGTCAGATACGGTAATCTCTTTATAGTTTAGCTGTACTAGGAAGGTGAAGTGCAATGTAATTAAAACTTTAAACTTTGAGGAGATTGAGAACTCGGTGTACCTTTACAAAAAGATATTTTGATACTTGCATCCGTGTACCTTTTAATGTTCATATTATTTTAGAAAACTGGTAAGACCTAAAAACAAGTCTCAGTTAAGAGGTTCTAATAAAAAAAAATCTCAGTTCTAATCAAATAAACCAAACCAAAACATTCCGTGTTTGCAAGGAATAAATGAAAAAATTAACATGTTTAAATCATATTCTCTTTCTTCGTTTTTGATTTGATCCAATTATATATTAAAAGATTTTATTGCAGTTAATATATGCACTCAAATAAAATGCTTACAGAACGATTTTCGTTCAAGCAATATTAGAGAATTTGAGATTTTGCAAATTCATAATCTGTTCCAAATAATTTACAGATTAGACTATGAATACAGATATTTTAGAACTCCATTATAACTTCAATATATCTAGTGTACCACATGAATTTCAGCAGAAAATACTCGCTGGAATTTTTAGCGAGCTAGTTTTGTAAATACGTAGATAGTTGTTTGAATTATTAAGAACCCTGAAAGATACTATATTCGTGAACGAGGAAATAAACCACAAATAGGATACTTCATTAGGATAAGAGGAGGAGTTTTAAAATGAAAGTAATCTTTATTAATTTAAGTATTTGGACTACTTTATACTTCAAAATTCAGAAATATTATATATAAACAAAGAAATATTATAATTAATAAATATAAATTGATATAACAGTTCTAAATTTAATAGCAAATATTAAATATTTTTAACATCTTTCTCACTACGAAGATTACCTTGAAAAAGGAAAGACATATTTTACGTTAATTTAAACTAATTACATTTACGTTAATTTATTTAAACTAATTACATTCAACAGCAAAACTCATGTCTAATTCTTCTCCGTAGCTTAAAAATAAGAAAGTCAAAAGGAAAACTATTTTAACGTAGTAGTCTGAGTTGGGTTACGGAAGAATTTATTATCAAACTTAAAAGTCTGATAATATATCAAACTAATTAAACTAGTCAAAGTTTAGTTAATTAAGTCAAACTAATTAGTCAAAAAGTCAAAACTAATTAGAAACAGCTACATAAGTGCCAAAATAAAGCATTCAGTTTGCCTTGTATTCAAACGCAGGACATCTTGAAATAGAAGTGAATGTTTTGACACTTCCAATACCTATGCGATATTCCTTACTTTTTCACTCCAGTTTTACAGATGAGGAAACTCTCGCTAGCAGTTTCCTAATCAAAGACAACTTTGACTTCAAAAACTATGTTTTTAAATTAAGTAAGTTTTCTACTCTTAATTAACTAAACGGGAATCATGGTTTTATCTCAAATACCAAAAATTTGGAAAGGCACTCAGATTTTTTTGCAATATTTTTAAAGCAAATAGCTTGTCAGGCTCCTTTAATTTTCAAATATATTTTTTTCCCTACGAATATTTACTTGGACAAGAAATTAATTATATTTTTTTGAGAGTTTCATTTCTCGGGATAAAGTTCGTTTCAGTGCCGAAAAAGTCCAACTTTGAGACAGCATATATATATCTTCAGCATATATTTGCTCTGATAAAACAGTTATTTTACTGAAGCACAGGAGGTCTTGAATTTTATGCTTCCTGAAAAAACGCGAGGATGTTAACTCGTGGTGATACGAAATAATTACTCCTATTTTTCTAACTTTTTATTGAAAAATAAGAGTGTCTTGAATTTTACGTTTATTAAATAAACAACAAGAAATATCTATTTGATAGCAAATAACAGGCTATTCATTATGGAATGGTTTGAAAACATCGCGGTCATATGTCTAAACTGTTTACCTTTGTATCTTCGGATATCGGCCGAAGTTTGATCCTCTTGTCTGTCTCTTTGCTGGCAGAAGGCCAAGTCTCCTCGATTCTCAACTGGATACCAGCGAGAAGAGCAGCTTCTTCCTTGGAACATGGTAGATCGCCACTCACCACTAGTCGCTGCAACTGAAAAAACAGTTTTTAATAAATCTACTTTCAAATGATATTTTTTTTTTTTTTTTTTTTTTTTTTTTTTTTAACGTAAAAGTCAGAAAAATTGCACAAATCCGGGTTAAATATTATCGCCTCGCCAAGTTCGCGCGCGAAGTTTTAGTACGTGAAGACTCTGAAAAACGCTTAAATTAACTCTCTCGAGGAGGGCAACCACTTCTTTATGGCATCATACTAGAGAACAAAGAGTCGCTCTTCTTAAACGCGACGAGCGCTTTCCCATTTAAGGCGATCACTGATTAAGAGAAGAGAGCTACAAAAAGCCTTTGTAAAAGTCAGCTGGGTCAAATGTCAATGTTTAGTTTGCCGTAGAAATCAAAATCTATGAACGTTAATTTCTTTTGGTATCCTCCCTTCCCGCCGCGTTAGTTCTTCGCTTCCCTTAAGAACTTACCATTGTAAGCAAATCAAAGGAGCATACCGCTCAGTTTGTTCTCATCAAAAGCAATGCGCCAATATTTATAAGATACCGCCAACGCTTTCACTCGCGATGGAGTTTGGCGCCATCACTCCGATTATCGCCTGACCCATACGCTGTTTGGAGATCTATTCCCGTCGTCCAATCAGATCATGTCGTCGTTGTTTCTCCTCCCCCCATCCTTTTTTTCGGAGGGATGAAACATCTTTCGTACGAATGATCGTTAGTAATACGAACGCGTAGGAGCTCAGAAATGTATGGCTTCCTCGTGCAGGCTAATTCATCACCTCAATGCGCTTGCGCTTACCTTTTCATCGAGGATTACAAAACGTAAGCAGTTAAGAGTTTGTTTAATGCAACAAATAGGGATAAAAAAAATTTATCCTCTGTTTTTAATTTTCTTTATGTTTTACATCTTTTTTTCTTCTTTTTTTTACATCAGAATTTATCTCACGTAGATTTTTCTTCTTATTAAAACATAGGAGAAATCTCACTAGCGGTTTTTTTTTTTTTTTTTTTTTTTTTTTTTTTTTTTTTTTTTTTTTTTTTTTTTTTTTTAAGTTTCTTGTAACTTGTTTTACCATTCAAAAATCTTGGACAAAGAAGTACAAAGGGGACAAAGAAAAGGCAATACCTACTTTTTCATAATCGCGGCGTATGACTTCAGCTTGTTTTTCCTCTTCATTCGTTTCATCTTCCTTCAGAAGAAAGAGCAAATTTAAGTTTCTCGTGTGAAAATTTCAGTTTTTATATAGAAACAAAATCAAATCAACTAACCTATGCTCAGTAGAAAGAAAAAATGGTTCATGAAAACACACACTTAACACAACTGGGCAATCTCAGAGAAGTTTTGCAAAAATACAGAAAATAATTTTTCGTACTCTACTTTAGTAAATAATTCAATACCTACAAAAAAGCATAAAATGGTGATTATTTTTGTAGTGTGAATGTGTAAAAAATGTTGTGTTAAATCTAAATGTGCGCTTGTCATTTTAAGTTTAAATTGTAAAAAATTTCTTGAAGATGCAGACACAGTAGAGATAATTTCCTTGGTATAGAAAATCAGTATTTGCAAAAAATCATTGATAAAAGCCACGCATTTTGTATATTAATCAAATTCATAAAGTAAATCATTGATATTTTTCATTGTTACATTTGGAAACTGTGGTCCATTTACATTTGACGAAGCCCAATAAATATTTTTTAAAGTTTATAAGTTGTTAAATACTAGGAAATACACTTTACTGTATCAAATAATTACGCCTGGGGACAAATGTATAATATATTTCACAGACATTTACCTTAAATCTATGAGCAACAATAGAATATTCGCCCCCAGCCGGGTTAGTGATTAGTGACTCTGATTACCGTACCAAAAGGCCCTTGTTCGAATCCCGGAGGAGACATGGATCTTTGTAAATGTACAGTGTCTGCGCTGCATGGGGGCACTCAAGATATGCGGCGAGCCGGAAGTCCTCTCAAGAGGTTGTGGTAGGGAAAGAGGGGTGCGAGACACTTGGAACCGTCCCCCGCCCTGGGGTGCTCTAATGAATTTCGCGAGCTTGCTCTAATTTCAGTTAAGCGAGATTAATCGCAACAAAAATACCAACAGAATATTAACGGCAGAATAAAATCTATCCATAATTTTAATTAACTAATCTTTCAATTGATGTTTTAACAACAAAAATACGATCAGCATGTTCAAAAACAGCAATTTTGGTTTGCCTTTACTCGTCGACACATTTGTACGTATGTAATTAACTTTCTAGGGAATCATATATCTGAAATTATATTTGAATCAAATTACTTCAAACCAAATGAATTTTTATGACAATCATTCTGAGTCTACCACTCAAAAACCTACATTACATGACTATTAATTCTGCTCAACGTAAATGCGAATCAGTTTTAGTTTACAAATACATTGTTCAAACTCTAGAAGTTAATTCTCTGAATTTCTACTAACGAGATTGCTGTTGTCGTCAGGAAACGATATACGACAAAAATGCTTTCCCGGGAAGAATATATGCTTAGCTATTTTTGACGTAAAAAAGGGTAGAACTCTGCTAAAAGGTTTTTCAAGGGAACTTGTTAAATGGGAATATTTCTGAGGGAAAATAAGTATGTAGTGTGTGTGTGTGTGTGTGATTATGGCAAAGCCTCGAGGGCTATCTGCCTAAAGGAGGGATGCCTTCGTGGGGGACTTTCTAAGGGAAACTGGCTCGTATACACGTTACACATGGGGAAAACCACAAAAACGCCCATGCAGCCAGCCCGTTCGCGGGATTCGAACCTCGGACCGAACTACCAGTGTTCAGCGATTTTACCGCTCGGCCGCTGGTGGGCAATAAGTATGTAGTAAGTATGACCTTGTCTTTGGTTTTGTTAGAATTCATTGTGAAAGAAGTCTCATTATTATAGTTTGCATAATGTACCATAATTCCAGAAACTTTCTGGTGCGTAGAATTCAATAGTCAGTATATATAAGCAAAGTGTAACGTGTATTTATCGATAGACTTTCGTTTAATTAACTGGCGGAATCATCATAATACCATTCAGGTTGTGTTAGTTATATCAACTCAAAACTACCCAAAATCTTCTGAAATTTTCACCATATGGTCATATGAGACCTTTCATGGTCATCCTTAACAGAAGTAAAACATTTAGAAAGGAAGATTTTCTATGAGCATATTTAAAACTTACTAAAATAGTAATTGCCTTAAAATAATGTGCTGTTGGGTGTCATCGAATTAGATTTTTTCTGTGTGAAAACATAACATGCAGAAACTTCATAGTCAAGAAAAATTTGTTTGCTGTTTTTGAATTTTATTTCGTAACTTTAAAAATTAGCTGTCTTAGAGGGAACAACTTCGTATTAAGGATATCCAGGTTCTAATTTATTTGAAAGGAATTTTTCTCCTTCCTTACTGCATACTTTCGTGATGTAAGTGGAAAGACGCTCGGTTAGCAATTGGGATGTCCATAGTTCTAATCTCGGCGAAAGCATTGCACATTTTTCATGTTTCCTGCTTCGACAAATTTAGTGACTTTACATTGGCGGGCGATTTAAAATGTGGTCGATGATATTTCGTCACCAGCAGGTTTCGGTGACTAGGTCTCCATCTCCCCAGTCGCTTTTTATGTCGAGGACAGCATGAGAGATTTTTTTTTTTGTTTCCCTTCCTTACTGCTTGCCTTGGAGGTCGTGCATAATTTTGGAATATTATGCGAATAACATTAAGAATCCATTAGGAATTGATTTCATTATTGAACAAATTTGATATTGCTGCCACATATAACAAAAAAAATTGTAGCAGTTGGTAACTATAAATATTCTTTTATTAGCTCTATTTTTGTTTCAAATTAACAGTTAATGAATAAAATATTTTATCAACAGAAAAATATTGGCATTATAAGTTTAAATTAAAGTCATTTAAAATCGTTTAACCATAAAAATAAATGTTTGCCGCATATTTTTAGGCCATTGGCCTGAAGATTACGAATTGATTGCGTATTTAAAAAATGCTTTTTAACAATATTTTAATAAAGAAAGGCTATACGAAACTTAAGTAACTAAATATGATTTCTTTATTCAAAACTCAGTCTTAGGAACTTGTCTTAAAACTAACAGCTTAGATCACGAGAAGAGAAAAAAAAAAAAAAACTAACCTGAATCTCGTAAACACTGCGTATGTCACTGGCCCACTTGCGATACTGATCTCCAAGAGGACAAAGAGCAGCTAGGAATTCCTCGAACTCACTTCCAACATCCAGTAGCAAGTCTTGTGGGCAAACTTTGCCCCATTCCAATAGTAGCTGAAAGGCGGCTTTTTCTTCTACAGGGATTTCAGTCCTGCCACGAGACATCAGGTCTGGTAAAGGAAAATCCACCGGGCAATAAGTACCTTCTGTAGTGGCGCTCCTAGTCAGTGATGAACTGTCAAGTGTCACCCGAGGAACAGAGCATGATCGTGGACGAGGTTCTTCAGCCTGCATAGCAACCACAAAACTTCAGAGTTAGGATAAAGTAAGAAACAACGTTTATTAGTTCAGTAATATTTTTTCAATATAGGAGCATTTATTTAATATACAGCAATTCCTAAAATATCGTGGAATTCCCTGGATGTGGTTAGAACTTTTTACTATACTTTTCTGAAATGAAATAACTGCATAAATTAAAACGTTTATCCTTTTTTCTAACACAAACTCAGAAAAGAGCAAACAAAATGGTAGAAGTTACCTGTTCTAGCAAGAAATTAAATGCTGAGGTTTCCAGTTTTGGAAAAGTTACTCTGATCGAAGTCTCGGAATTTATCTCCCATTTTTCTCTAAATTTATCTTTCAACTCCAACCACAAAATACCTCTGCTCCGTAGCATTAACAATAATTTTAACAGAAATAATTTTCATTAGGGATGCTACAAACTGATAATTTAAGTGCTTATTCCCATTAAAAATTGAATCTTCTTTCTAATATTCTAAAATTTGACTCTCTGAAATCCTACAAAAATTATATATATATATAAAAAAGATAATTAACTGCTGGTTCTTTAACTTTTAATTGCTTAAAAACATTTTCTTTTTTAATACTATTGGTATTTCTCTTATTTTTTCCAATAAAATTACGATATGGAAAGTGTAGCGTTTGATAAATGTGAATTTTTCTAAAACGTGGAAACCCATAGTTAAAACAAATGTTAATGCCATGAAAGCAATTTCTTCGTTTTCTCAATAAAAGTACCCTGATATTTATTAATTCTCGTTTTACGGTCAAATTTTCAAAAACAATTAAAAGAAGAACCTTCCTGTTATGAACCTTTCTGTAATTAAGATAATATAGCGTCTTCCATGTAATTAAATAGACAATGATAAAGTGTTGTTGTTAGAAAAAATTTAGCGCATCAAAAAGTTAATTAGTTTTTAGATTTGCAAATATTTTCTCTAATCTGATAGCATATACCAGGTGATCCAAAAGCAAAAAGCAAGAATGCGAAAGCATAGATAATGACACAATGAAACATTTTCACCGAATGCGCAGAAAGACGTGAGTTTTTTAAAAATTGACATTTTTTTACCAAAATAAATGCATTTTTCACCAACAGGTGGTGCATCTGTTCCAGAGAACTGACATTTCGTAAAGGACCGCATGATGATCTCTCGGTATCAACCTCAAGATATATTCTTACAAAATCCAACAAGCACAATAACGAACGCAACTGATTTCGAGATATGTCATGAATTTGAAAATTCGGCTTTTCAGCAGATTGAAAATGCACGCTGGCTGTCAAAAGACCTGTGGACAGACAAGGTGTACATTTCAATTAGTGGAATCGTAAATGTACGCAACTGCTTCATCTAAACAACGCAGAACACACGAGCGTTATATAGCGCTTATAAGAGATACAGGTACAAGTGGACCGGCATCCAGAATTTCATTGTTGGACGTGCAGGTATAATCGTGCCACATTAACTGTCCAGCTACGCTCCAAATTTGATGGACAGAATCCCGGAGAACGATTTGACGGTCATCCTCCCCTTTTCCCGTACTCCCTGCCATCAAATCACTTATAATATATACCTACGGCACAGGTGGTGACTTTGTTTCACCCTATACCTGTACCAAATTACTTAACAGGACATTCGGCTTGCCAGTATTTTGAGTGCCTCATGCCATACAGACGCTGTCCACTTAACAATTTACCAATAGCTATATCTCCTCTGGGATTTGAACTCGGGCCCATCGATACGGCAACTAGGTTGGCTAACCACTATGCCAATCAGAGCGGCGCTTTTCAGACACAACATTATTCCTCTTTTAAGAGACAGCTCTATAGCGCAGCATTCATGCAGGAAGGAGCGTCACCTCACAGGTCCAGCGATTGCCATTCAATAACTTTGTCCTCAGTTGTTTTTTCCCGCATAAAACTTACTCCTTGTTACCTTTTGATATGGAAGGTTACTTTACGTCACATGATAGGCAGAAGTCGTTATTTGCATCACCTGACGGGAATTACAACTGAATACTTTTCGATGCTGCACAGAGTGTCGTGTAACGTCTGAAGGCCATTTCATAAATGATAGCCGTCACTCTGAACAATCGTAACCTTAGATGCTTTGCGAATTGTGCTGTGACACTGTACAAACGTTTGACACTGCTGAAAAACCACCTGTCATCAGAGAATGTGTAACTATTCTTGAAATTAGATCTGCAGTTATTTTATTTAAAACATTCCATCACCGTATAAGGTATTTCTTCCACTTTCTTAACATGCCTGCGTGGTGTAGTGGTTCTGCACGCTGGGTCGGTATCCAGAGGTACGTGGTTCGATTCCCGGCGAAGGCGATTGCTCATTTTTCATCTCTCCAGCCTCCAAAAAATTCCGAATGTCTCTACAACCTTTTAACGTATTCCTATGAAAACTGCATCTTGCTACTAAATATCTACTTTTTGAACTACTAAATTTTTACATATTCTGTCGCTTTTGAATCATCCGGTATAATTTTTCTCGGAACGAATAGGTAACTGGTTTAATGAGATGGTTTTACATGTACTTTATAATCACCTGATACCAAGAGTATTACATAATTTAAGACACATTTCATTCTCTTTTTTTTGGGGGGGGGTTGTACCTTAACCCTTTATAAGGCTGTGGGAAGTGTATTTCACACCAAGTTCATTAATTTTTAAATGCCGATGGAAAGTTGTTTTCCCAACTATGATCTGTTCTGAAGTTATTAACAGATCTGCCATCTGTTAATAACTTCAGAAAATACAAAAAAATACCAATGACAAATTTGTTCACATAAATGGGGGTGCTGTTTCGTCTTGTGCGTTATTGCTAAGCACAGAAGTTCAACTTAATGGCCAATTTTTAATAGTAGGTAAAAATTTTGAATTATATTTGCCAGTTTTTAGAATTTGACCTCCAATGGAACTCATTAATTTGTTGTAGTCAAATTAATTTTTGCACTTGCCATGGAAATGTATAAAAAACAGAAGAAATAGACAGCAGAGGAGGCTCTTGAATTGTTTTTTGCTCTCCAAAGTGATCCTGAAGATTCAGACAAAGATGCAAATGATCAAAGAGATGAAGAATTTTCAATCAAGGAAAATAGAAATGTTGATGATCCACAGCCAAGCACTAGTAGAGGTACAAATAAAGCAATCAAAGAAGTCGACATGAACCAAAAAATTGATTCAATGTCCAGAATTATAGAGGATTAAAATGATTCTAGTGACACTGAAGAATACAATGCAAATGATGAAGACGAGGGCTGGTCTGATGATACCAGGCACTTTGATTCCCATGTTATTTATATGGATAGAGAAGGAATTATCAGTCCTGCTCTAAAACGAACCAGTAGAGAAAAAGACTTTTTTCCCAAAATATTCAGTGAGGAAATTTTTAGAACATGTTGTCGAGCAAACAAATTTATATGACTTTATTCTCTGGGAAGAAAGTAGAAGAGATTCGGGACCTCAAGAACAGTTACATTTTTGACTTCTGACCCAAGACAACTGATTTCTGGATTTTCAAGTCGTAAACGCAAAGGACGACCTATAAGAAGAGAACAAGATACGTTTATACAGCTTGCAATGTCTCACTGTGTGTTGATTCCTGTTTTCTGAAATTTCATGGAAAGTAATGCATATAAATTTTTAAATATTTTAATCAAACTATATCTAATTTATAAATTCTTTTGTAGATTTTAGTATTTGCAAATTATATACTATGAATATCATGTAATTCGAAATAGAAAGAAACGCAAAACGTAAAATGTCCCACTTTTGAATAGCTCCCAGCGGGTGGTGGGAAACTTACTTCCCACCAAAAAAAAAATTAAATAAAAAAAGGTCTTAAAAATCAGATTAATTTTAGGTAATAAGCTAAAAATAAATGAATATCTTTTTATAAATCAATCTCAGTCCCCAAAATATTTTACTATAAAATTACTAGGGAAAAAATAGCCCTTTAAAGGGTTAAATTCGAAAACGAAAACCGGAAATGTAAATTAGTAACCAAAAAAGTCACTAAGGAAACTGAAAAGAGCAATAACTACGTAGGTTTTTTAAATATACTTAAGTATCATATTACGTTATTTCGTATACAAAACCATTTGTCATATAGAGCAATTCAGAATGAGAAAAATCTTAGAAATATTGGTGGTTAACAGAATTCTACACAGTATCAAGTAATCTGTACTGTTACAGATTTAAAAAAATTAAACAGTTCAAAAAATGAAGTAGGAGTTTTTAAAACTACTGTATATAAACTATGGTTTAAAGAACAACGAAGTGAATGAAATCGTGAGCTGGCAAAATAGAAACTGGTAGTCTCTTACCATGTATACGATCTTTCATTTACCTTCCAAATTAGCTATTACTATTAGACTATGCCTCGATATTTTTTTACCTGAGGCAAAAAAGTAAATGCATTCGTCTATTCACAATCAAATTAGCTATATTTGTACATTTTTCTGTAGCAGAAGTAATCGCATTTAAGTAAAACATCACAATTCTTACATCATACTTGCTCTTTAATTCTTATAGTAGTATTGTTAATCATAGCTTTATAAATTCAGAAAAAATTATAATTTATAATTTTAGACCGAAAATATTAAACAATATTGTTTTGATAAATGACAAATAACACTGAAATAATTTAAAACTCATATTATTAATATACAAGCTTTTTTATAGTATAATTTTTCTCGCTTTTAACGACGATCGCCAGTCATGTTCTATAGAGAAAACAGCCCAGCCGTGTGTGAATTTTCTTTTAAAACTAGGCAATATTTTTGCACATTTGTTTTTTTAAGTTAAGTTTGCTAAAGCTTATTTCAATAATAGTAATAACTGACAACTTTAGGCATATTATTAACCCAATTTTTCGAATTCGCATATGTTTAAACTACTCTGTAATTCTGAATTATCCTTAAAACGTCTAATTTACTTTAATGACCAGAATTATTGCAACAACGTAGTTTTTA